CATGGTTCCGGATGCTGGGCATGTATTGACTCACCCAATCTTCACAACCTCCCGGTGAGGGCAGTACCATCATACCCATTTTATAGATAAGGAAATTTGGGCTTCAGAGAGGTTAAGGCTGATGGCCGTCCAGCTGGCACATCGAGAAGCCAGGACTCAAACCCAGACAGTCTGGTTCTAGTCTGAGCCATTATAAACAAGACAGGCCTCTGAGTGCCCTTGGGCCTAACCTTTGAGATATGGGATTCCCCAAAGCAATAAACCGTTCCTAAGAGCTCCCCAGCAGAGCTGCTGATGCCCTTATTTATTTATTTATTTATTTATTTATTTATTTATTTTTTGAAACAGAATCTCACTCTGTTGCCCGGGCTAGAGTGCTGTGGCGTCAGCCTAGCTCACAGCAACCTCAGACTCCTGGCCTCAAGCAATCCTCCTGCCTCAGCCTCCCGAGTAGCTGGGACTACAGGCATGCGCCACCATGCCCGGCTAATTTTACTATATATGTTTAGTTGTCCAGATAATTTATTTCTATTTATAGTAGAGACAGGGGTCTCGCTCTTGCTCAGGCTGGTCTCCAACTCCTGATCTTGAGCGATCCTCCCACCTCGGCCTCCCAGAGTGCTAGGATTACAGGCAGGCGTGAGCCAAGGCACCCGGCCTGGACCAACATCCTAGGTGGTCGCTGGTGGATTTTGTCGCGCGGATAGGTGACGTGTGTACATGGACAAATGTGAAGCTTAGGTGACTTTGCTCCAGGTTTGCTCCCGAGGCACAGAGAGGGGTGGAGGGTGGCCCTGGGATGCCCACGCCAGGACAGCATCAGTCCTAGAGCTTCTTCCCCACGCACATGCCTGCACTGCCGTGGCTTCACGGGTGCCCGCACCCCACCGGGCGGGCACAGCCCCAGGGCAGTTCTGCGATACAACTCCAATTTATGGAGCGTTTTAATGGGCGCAGGAATATTAACGTGCCAGGGCTAATTATTCAGAAAATGTTTCAGCTGACTTGCTTTTCATCTCCTCCACGATGGGCAGCTTCAAAGCCCACAGTCACCTGCTGCGCAGGAAAGACATCCTGCCCCTGTGTGATTGCTGTCCGAGCCACTTACTTGTTGTTTACGTTCCAGGAGGCGTGACCTCCCTGCACAGGGCATTTCCTCCTCCCCATGGCTTCACAGAAGAGCGTAAGGGGGCGTGGCTGCTGACCTTGGGCAGGATAATGCAGAAGAACCCTCTCTTCCATTAGGGGGTGACAACTAAGGCTCAAGGTAACTTACCTGGGACATAAAACTGTGTGTGGCTGGTGCTTCGCCCAGGAAGGAGGGATGCCCTGATGTTCTAGGCTATTCCCTTTGAATTGAAGGATGAAAAAAAAATCATTTTTGCTTTCAGAGAAGTAATGGGATTGAGGAGTGTGAAAAGATGAAGTCCTCGTGATAGTCTCTAGTTCCTGGGATTTAATAACATTTTGTGCTTATTATTTATGACTGGGCGAATTTCTTCCACATGCCAGACCTGGTCCTAACAACTTTAAAATGCTTCTCCTGTAGGAGCACAATGTTGGAGATAAGTCATCCTTCTCCATTCTGTTGTATTTAAGAGCTTTATTTGAGCTCAGTGCTATTTGCTTTTATTGTTTTGTCCATTGCACGGAGAAGAAATAATTATAGTCCACTTAATCAGCTCCTAAAGAGATGGCCTTCCCTGCCTGTCAGGAGACCAGGATTTTTCTTTTTAATTAATACCTAAGATGTGTGGATCGTGTGATATTTAACTTTATTTTATCCATGTTTGAATTTTTCCCATCTGATGAGTTGATGTTTTCTGTATTAAAAAGCATTTAATGGGATATTAAGAGTTAAGTGGACTCTCAGATGACATATATTAATTTAAATAAAATTTAAAATACATTTAGGCATACTGTGTTTCCCTGAAAATAAGACAGGGTCTTATATTTATTTTTCTCAAGAAGACACCTTAGGGCTTCTTTTCAGGGGACGTGTTATTTTCCCCTCAAAGCCTCAGCTTGCAGCAGGCACAGGATGGCCGGGACCTGACAGGGGGAGCCGACCTTGGTGGTGGGGCTGCCAGCACCTTTCCGGTCACCTCTGGGATAGTAGCTGTCACGATGGGACAGATGAGAAGGGCTGCTCGTCTTCTTTCCCGCTCTGTGACGACATGCATGGGCTGTGCAGATGCGCTGCGTAGCCACTTCCGTCACTAGGGCTTATTTTCGGGGTGGGGCTTCTATTGCACACATGCTTAGAAATCCTGCCAGGGCTTATTTTATGGGTGGGTCTTATTTTCAGGGAAACACAGTAGTATATCCACAAAATCAGATTAGAAGAAAGCCAAGACCCTTAGTGTTAATGACAGGAATTGCACGCACATTTTTAAGAACCATTTACTCAATTATAACGAGCAAAGCAGGTGTGTTTCAGAGGAGAGCCCAGTCACGGTTTGCTCAGTTGTCAAGAACAATACACACCGTTCAGGGCCAGCACTGTGTTTGTGTGGAGAGGGAGGGAGGCTGGACCACAGCTTTCTGCGCGAGTGTTTGCGTTGCCGTGTGTGTCCAGAGATAGCAGGAAATGAGGGCTGGCCGGGGCTGTGAGATGCAGTCAGGTTCTCCTACAACAACAGCAACAGTGGGTCTCGGAAAGCTTTGTGAGGACAAAGACCTCCCCGGAACAGACGGGAAAGAATGCCAAGTGTTAATTAGTTCAAGTGCTAGTGGACCTGTGATCCAGGATGGGCACAAATGCAATATTTTAAGAAGACAGGTGGCAGGCAGGGGAGGGGCGCAGAGGCCTTCGGTCCCCGGGGAGAGCTGCGATGGGGAAGAGGCTGTAGTTTTGCTCTCCTCTCCCTAGGAAAAAACAGAAAATGAAACCACCAGGAAGCATTATTTAGTAGAAAGTGGTGAAACAATGTAATCCAGGGAGTTGTAGATTTTCTCCCCAGATAACTTCCAGCATCATGTAGGCAGCCTTCCCCACCTTCATGGGTTCACGGTGATCTTGTACGGAGGCAGAGGGATCGCCCCGGTGGCCCCTAGGTGGGCATGCAATTTAGTGACAATGGTCTAGGATTACCAGGGGCTCATTTTTTTTTTTTTTTAATGATGAACGGTTGAAAAGCAAAGTGTCTAATAATAGGCTGGGCATGGACGGGGTGGATGTCTTTTCCATTCTTCCCTCTTCCAGCCTCGGAAGCCTGGCGGAATAAGCAAGAGGGACGCTGGGCTCCTGATTGGGTTTATAAGCCACACACTACTGGTCCTGATGAATTAAAAGAACATTAAGGCCGTAGCCAGGGACACCACATTTTTCATTGAACCGAATTGACTGCAGCACTGACTCTCCTAATAGTCTGGAAGGCAGGCTGTCTGCCGTGCGTGTCCCTGCCATGCTTAGGAGAAGCGAGGGCACCAGACTGACGCGAGGCTTTGATCGGAATGGTGGGCAGCTGGGCCTGCTGCCATGGAAGAGCCAAAGCGTGTCGGGCCAGTGAGCTTGGCGTGGCTCTGCGCGAGGAGGCTGCAGCCCTCTGGCCGGAGTCCTGTGGACGCACACTGCCGGCGTGGGCAGGGAGAAGGCGCGAACAGCGGAGTGGAGCCAGCTCCTCTGATGAAGTCCTCAACGCGCCTGGCCGAGGGGGGGGCTGGGCACCCACCGAGTGTGAAGGGCAGCATGGTGGCCGTCATCAGTCTAGTCTCGTTCCTCAAAGACTCAAACTTGACTGCCCGCTTCCTCCCCTGCCGCTTGCTCTGGCTGCTCTACAGGTGAACGGGGATGGCCTCGTGCCTCGATCTCATCCAGGACTCCCCAGAGGTCCCCATCACCTCTTTTAGGAGGTCCACTGAGGTTGCAGCCACTTGGCCCCTTGAGCCGGCTGGGGACGGTCTCTGAGTCTGCCTGGTGTTCTCAGCAGAGGGAGCTGAAAGCCCTCCAACAGCCTGCTCTCTCCCAGCCCCGCAATCCCTTGTGCTCCCCGCATCCCCGCGTTTTGCATTTGCACTTTGCGCCCCGTCTCTCCCTCAGCCAGCAAATGTGTGTGGAGGACACGGACCTGGGCCGTGGGCTGTCTGGTACCTGGGAGAGAGGCAGGATGCTGCAGTCCTGTTACCAAAGTTGACGCTAGAAAGTTAAAGCGGATATTCAAATTGTGCCGTAAGGAATTCCTGATGCTCCTACTGCCGTCTCCCCTCCTCCTCCTCCTGCCCTGGCAGCTCCTGGGTGGGTGAGGAAGGGCCCCACTCCGCACTTGCCACCCGTCTCTTTCTCTCAGGCTCCTACACACAATGCTCCATGGCCCAAGGTACCATTCAGGGACTGTTTCCCCATCTGCAAACTGCCCACAATACCGACCTTAAAGGGATGTCTTGTGCATTGAGCAAACTATCATGTGTGAAGAGCCCTGTCTTTAATAACTAGTAGTTTCCTCTTTTCCTTTCCACCTCCTTCCAGCCCCTCCTTCCTTGCCAACCGGTAGAGCTTCCTCTTCCCCACCCACCCCTATTTTCACAGGCCCGGGGCACCTTTATCTTCTCCCAAGCATCCTCCTCTTCCTCACCAACCCTTTAGGCTCAGAGGCCCCAGCATCCAGCTGACCGCTGTAGGCGGAGGCGGCCTACAGAGGGGCAAGGAGGGAGGAGAGGGCTCAGGGATCCCAGAAGGGCGGCCGTGGAGGGCTCCTAGCCCAGTAACTTAGCCTTGCGCTGCAGTGGGGCCGGGAGACGGGGAGAAGCAGCTGGCTCCAAAGAGACAGCCCCTCTTTCGTGGGGACGATGGGGTCCCCTTCCTGTCTGACTCTTCCTGCGCGGGGAGCAGCCGCCTTGACCTTGAGCAGCGGGCGGGGGCGCCGAGCGGGAGGGGGGCTGCGCAGAGGGCTCCCGTCCCGCAGGGCAGGTCCGCCCCTGCACCTCCTCCGGCCGCCTCCCCCGTCCCCGCCCTCCCGCGCCGCGCCCGGTCTCCTCCCCTCACTGCAGCGCCCGCGCTCGCCATCCGTCAGCCCGCGCCGCGGCGCAGACTGCTAAGCTCAGCAAGTCTTGCGGCAAAGGCACTTCCGAGCGGAGTTGGGCCGGGCGGAGCGGGGACTCCGCGCCCCGGGGACGGACGCCCTGCCACACCGTCGCCGGCGCCGCGTCCTTGCAGCCCGGCGCTCCCTCGCATCGGCACCGGTACCGGCATCTCTCTGGGTCGCTCTCCGGTAAGTCCGCACCCCCGCCCGCGGGTGGCACCCACCTCCCTCTCCAAAGTTTCTCCTGCTCCCGAGCCGAGGGGCCGCGGGGCCGCGGGGCTGCGGGGCGGGATGCGGCTCCCGGGAGGTGAGCGGTGTCGGGGAAGTTTGAGGCCAGGGGGGCCGGGCGCCCGCACCGTCCTGTGGGGGAGTTTGGACGCGTCCCGGTGGAAGGTGCGCTTGGGCGAGCCCAGCCGCAGGGGCGAGGAGCCGGCTCCCCTGCGGGACCGGGGCGGAGCGGGGTGCAGGTCTCCCCCGCGGTCTCCCGGCGCGGGGCTGCAGTGGAGAGGGCGGGCCGTCGTCCCCTGCGCCCGCCCGCCCGCGGCTCTGCGCCCGCGCCCCTCTCTCTGGTCCTCCGGCGCGACCCGCGCCCCCAGACCCCCACCCCTGCTCGCGTCTTGCCCACCCCGCGCCCGCCTGAGCGATCTCCAGCGAAGGTTCTTTTGCCCCCGCCGCAAGCTGCGGGGACCCCTGGCCCTGTCGTCGCGGGAGGGGAGGGGGTCCTCCGCACGCTCTGGGAGCCAGAGACCCTGGGTGGGGGGAGGCTGGGGAGACCGGCTCCAGGGAGTGTCTGCAAGTGAGGGTCAAGAGCAGCGGGAACAGGGACGCGCGAGGGGTGGAGGCGCCCCTCGCCTCTCTCCAAATCTCATGACTCAGCACGAGCTAGGACGCCCCGTCCCTGCTGCGGCCCTGGTCCCCGCTGGTTCGCAGCTGGGCTCGTGCAGGCAGCCCCGCTCCCCTTTCTGGACATTTGCCTTTCTTATTTGGGGTCCCCCTTCCGCCTGCTCCTGTCTCCTCCCCCAGGGCACAAGATTTTCATTTTGTAACTAAAATGAGGAGTTTTATCCTTTCTCCACCCCACTAACGCAGGTCCCCATCCTCCTTTCTCCTCCTTACTTGATTCCCACATTCCACAGGTGCCCGCGGGACACCCCCAGCCCAGGGTTGTGTGGATCTCTCCTCTGCGGCATCCCCCCCTCCCTGCGAGGTGGAGGAGTAGGTGCTGTCCTGGGCGGCAGGAAGGAGGGGTGCAAGGACGCAGGAGGCAGGGCCACGTGGGCCCACTGCTGCAGCCGGAGGGAAGGGCAGGGGCCCATGGCGATGGGTGGGTGGCCCAAGTTGGAAGGGGGCAGGCATGAGGAGAAGGAAGTCTTAGGGTCCAGGGGGGCCCAGTGAGCTGGGAAGCCGGGAAGGTGTCCTGGAATCTGGCCTGGCAAGCTGTCCGGTGCCTGTCACCCTCCCTGACTGCCGCTGCCCTGGGGGTGTCTCCTGTGGGCAGTAGCGTGCCCTCCAGCCAGTCTGTCCAGTCCTTGTCACAGCGGGTGGCAATGGGGAGCAGGGCTGCCCCTAGTCCTCCCAGCCCTCTTTTCCCACTCAAGTCCAAGCCCAGCTTTGGGGCTGCTAGAAACATCTCTGCATCCAGCAGAAGTGCCAAAAAAATAGCCTTTCCTGATGCCTCTAAGGCCAGGCCAGAGGGGCAGGTGGGCGGGGGCAGGGCAGCTCTGATGCAGTGGGACGTGCCTGGCGTCCTGGTCCTGTCAGCGGTGGCCTGGCAGGCACTGCAAGCTGCAGCTTGTGACAGGGCCCCAGGGGTGAGTCAGCGCCAGGGGTCCCGGCCAGGCACCCTGCGGCCTGGCCTAGCAAGTCCAGCCTGACCCTTCTCCTCCCCACGGGCCCGGGAGTGTCCAGCGCCAGCTGAACCCCCACTCCCAGGCTGCCCCCCTCAGGGTGACATGCCTCTGTCCCTTTTGGCTCCCAGACAGGTCCCTGGCTTCATCCTCCAGGCTCCCCCCACCCCCCACAGAGGCCTGGCTTTTGGGGGAACCCCTTAGGCTTGACCCTCACCCTGTCCCCTCCCCACCTTGCCCAAGGAGGAGTGAGGGGAGCTCCAGGAAAGCTGGGGAGGGGAGGCGGAGGGAAGTGTTCCAATTATAGCCTGATGTGGTCTGGCCGCCATCCCCTGGGGGAAGAGAGACCAGACCACTCTGCTGTGAGTCGCTCTGTGCAGCAGTCCACGGGCTTTTTCCAGGCAACTTGGGAGTTTTGGGGGAGTGGGCGAGTGTATGCAAACACATTTCTTTCAGTTTGGGGGCCTGGCATCCACGGAACAGGACCAGGGGAAGAGAAAGGTGTTGGTTTTTGTAAACACTGTCCTTTCCCTACAAAAACCTTGCAACCGGCTTCCTCTTATGACCGGGGTTGGTTTTATCCCTGGGCGCAGCAGGCACCTTGCTGGGGAGCTGGCAGGACCAGGCAGCCCCTTTCTGGGCTGAGTCTGGGCTCTCCCGACCTCACTCTGCAGCTGTGCAGCTCCGGGCAGGTGTGATAGAGCTGTCCCTGCCACTGCAGAGACCTGGGGGAGGGTGGGCTTTGAAGATGGCTGGGGGAGCCTCTTCTCTGCCTCCCCAGGTCCCGGGGGCCAGGCCAGCCCGGTATTCCCCAGCCCTAGGGAGAGCCTGACCACGAGTGAGTGGCCCTTCTGCCTGCACCAGGTCTTTGTCCTGTCTCAGCCGGGTCTCCTCTTTCTTCCCCGCCAGGCCCGTGCAGCCCTCTCAGGGGAGAGTGGGGAGAGGGGTGGCGAGTGGGCTGGAAGTGGGGATGAGGGGGGTGAGGAAGGACAGTGAGGATGGAGGGGGAGCCCAGTGAGCTGGAAGAATGGCTCCCCGTTCCCTTCCCTGGGCAGAAGTGGCTCGTGTTCGATGGAAGGCTGTGGATGAGTAGAAGCGGGGCTGCGCTCGGCTGTGGGATTTGCCGTGTGGACCTGACGGATCTAGGCAGGTCCTAACTGAAGCCGGATTTGCTTCCCTGAGCGGACATCACGGGCGGTCCAGGGTGATGGGGACACCCTCTACGACCTGGAGTGGAGGCCAGAGCGAGCAGCAGAGGGCACTTACCCAGTGGGTAAAATAGGAAGCACCAAAGCATACAGGCCAGAAGCTGCTTAGACAGGCCTGGGTTCAAGTCCCAGGCCGCCAATCACAAAGCGTGTGACTTTATTCGCAGTTTAAGCGTTTTATTGGTGCGCACCTACTATGCGCCGCTGTTCCAGGGGAGTGTACGCAACAGACGAAAGTCCCTGCCATTGCGGGTTTTGCATTCTGGTGGGCCTGGGCACACTGAGCCTCAGTTTCCACATTCATTCGACTATGACATTTTGAGAGTCTGCTATGTGCCAGAGCCATGAGAGGCGATGGAGATTCAGGTAGGAGCAAAACGCACCGCTTCTGCTCGCCAGGTCCGAGTCACAGAAAGACCAAACACTAGCCCTGCCGTCGTGGCACTTGCGATGTAGTGAGCACCACTCGGTCCAACAAATCGTCACATGAAGAGCCCACCGCGAGTGGAGCAAGCTTTAGAAGGTATACGGGATGCTTCCAGAACGAATAACGGACAAGGTCTGCAAAGAGTTTTCTCTGCAAAGCAGAGGTGACAATACACAACGTCACAGGGTCGTATTGTGTAAATGACAACTATTCATATTGTCTTCAAAACAGCCCACAGCTCGCTCGCCAGGTGCGACTGTAAATTCTCCACGTGAATGGTCCATCCGTGGGTGTCACGCTGATTATTCCCCCTCCACTGGGGAAGGCCGGAGGAGCTGGGGTTCAGGCCTGGATCCTGTGCCGTCAGGAAGCCTGTGGGGAATGATACAGTTGGAGAACGGTCAAGCCGTGGAGATTGTTTTCTAAGGGACGGTGTAGTAATAGCCATAGCCAGATTGCCGGGGTCCGTCCTGCTCCTGCCACTTGCTCTTACTTTGGGCAAGCGAATCGTGCTTTGTTCCTCAGTCTTTCCATCTGCAGAATGGAGCTATAACTCATACCTGTGACACGGTTGTTTTCGGTGTGGATTAAACAAATAAATCCGTAGAGTGTTTAGAACAGTGCCTGGCATGTGAGGAGTGCCGTGTAAGAGATCTCCATCCTTAGGTGGCCTGTGGTCTCCTCACATCCGTTTTCCTACCCACAAACAGGGCTCCGTCTTGGGTCCTCCAGCTTCAGGGTGCGTTTCCCACCTCTTTTGTTCGTAAAAAACTCAAGGGAAGGGGCTGCTATAACTTCCGCGGTGGTCATTCCAGCGCTTCATCCCTCCGACTCTCAGACGGTTCTTCCCGCCTAACGAGTCGTTTCTTGCCAAAGCGTGATTTCTGGGAAAGACTTGTCCCAGCGACCCTTCATGTTCATCCCTGGAGCTGACAGTTCGGGGAAGTAGTGCGAGTGCTGGGTAAATCTGGATCCAGGCCTAGAGGGCCCGACCCGGCGTGGTGAGTGCGGGCCGCAGGGGAGCGCCCAGCTCCAGGGGCCGGGTCTAGGCTAACCCTCAGGAAGGACACCCCAGATCCCTGGAAGGCAAGAGGTGTTGCACGAGCTTCCTCCCTGGGGAATTTCCGGGCACGGAGTCCCCAGGCCTCGCCGCCTGGGGAAGCGGGACATGAGTGGCCACACCACATGGCCAGTGGACCTCGGAGTATCTGGTGCTACCAAGCAGCCCCCAAACCTTGGGGTCGGGGGCAAGAAAGAACGGAAGAACGGGCAGTTGCTCTGCTGCTGTGAAGCCAGGGAGGCCCTTCTTTGACCAGTCTGCTGGGGACCTTGGGCACTCAGCTTTTTTTTTTCTTTTTTTTTTTTTTGAGAGAGTCTCACTCTGTTGCCCAGGCTAGAGTGAGTGCCGTGGCGTCAGCCTAGCTCACAGCAACCTCAGACTCCTGGGCTCAAGCCATCCTCCTGCCTCAGCAGTAGGATCTGGTAGCTCGGACTACAGGCATGCGCCACCATGCCTGGCTAGTTTTTTCTATATATTTTTCGCTGGCCAATTAATTTATTTCTATTTATAGTAGAGACGGGGTCTGGCTCTTGCTCAGGCTGCTTTCGAACGCCTAGACCTCGAGCAATCCTCCTGCCTCGGCCTCCCAGAGTGCTAGGATGACAGGCGTGAGCCACCGCGCCCGGCCTGGGCCTTCAGCTGTCGCT